TCACATCTTGAACGGCTTGATTGACAGTAAATAATTTATTGCATCGCAGTGAGATCCACACACCAAGGTATCGCACTAAGTTTTTTGGGTTAACGGACTTTATTGTATGATCGTTACCATATACATTAGTAATAATTATCTGCGTGTTTGTCAAGTTTGTTAAGAGGTCTGATTTAGCCCAGTTAACTTGTATACTGTTTAGTTCATAAAAACTATTTGCTACGTTGATAATATTTGTCAGGTCATCCTTTGATCAGGCAATCCACAGTGTGTCATCCATATATGCCAAGACTGATGTTTTACATTGGAGGTTGTTATAAGATTCTATTCATACATCTGGTTTCTACCTGACTGACATGTTATATCCTAGGTCTGAGGATTGTACCTTGCATAGGAGTGGATCGTAATAAATGCACCATAAGAGAGGGAAGATAATTTCTCCTTGATCGATGCCTGAGAAAACTTTATATGTGTCTGTATTACTGAAGGCCGTGAATACTTGATTCTCTCGAGAAACAAACATATTGAGAATAAAAAATATAAATTTTTTGGGTAATTTGAGTCTTTCCAAGGCTCTGACTAACATGAAAACGTTGACCCGATCGTATGCTTTGGACATATCTTGCAATAGGATCCACAGCTCCTTTTTATTCACCAACGCATCGTGTTTGATGTTATCAAAAATATGTAATGGTTCGAAAGTTGACCAAAATGGTAAACCTGCGAAGTTGTGCCCTTTTAATATGCTATGTTGAACGAATATTGTTGAGAGACGTCTGTTGATTAGTTTGATAAGAGCTTTCCTTGGACATTCTAGAAGCGTGATAGGTCGAGTGTTATTTAAGTTATATTCCCATGGTTTAGGTTTGGGAATCGGATATATGTATACTAAATTCCACCTATTCAGAAGCGAGGAAATTTTTAGGCAGCCACAGATTATGTACCAAAGGAGTTTTTTGGCAAGCGGACCAAGGTGTTTTAACATTTCATTGTGGATCTTTGAGGGACCTGATGCTTTACCATCGGCTAATGACTTTATAACGTTGTACCATTCGTCTGCCGTAGGGGGTGACATTAAGGACCTATATATATTGGGATCAATACTGGTGATTGGATTATAAACTGAACTCCATTCCTCTGGTATCTCTTTATTTTCGTGGGTAGTGCCTGCTGCCCTCTGAAAATGTTCGTTTACGTTGAGCTTAACTTCTCTTTCATCCGTTAACAAATCATTGGAGTTTCTTAATAAGCAGCGGTCAAGTATTATAGTTCTTCTCGATCTATTTAATGTCGAGTCTAACATTTTACCAGGTTGTACAGTGTAATTTTCAAGTCGTTTGTTGAGTGCTTGTTGAATTGACTGAAGTTTGTGTTCTTTCTCGTGTAGTATAGCTTTATAATGAACCATGTTAATTAGTAAATTAGTGTCAGAGAGTAAAAGTTCAATGAAATTGAATGGATATTCTGGAGTGGGGTGAGCGGTGACAAAATTAAGTGAATTTGCGTTATTGATGTAAGTATCATATGCACTGGGCCAAGAGACCGGAAAGGGTGCCCCATTTTTGATTGAGCGCAGCAACTTATTAAATTTGTGTAGTTCTTTTTGTTGTATATAAAGTTTGGACAGCCTAGGAGGTCTTGGATATTTAAATTGTCCTGTTGATTTCCAGATAGGGATAGTTGTTTCAGCCGCTTTAATCAGTAACTCTTGGAACTGATTCCAATGTTTGTTGAGTAGAGATTGCGTTCAAAAGGTGTTACTATTCATAGTTTTTAGTGGGCAGCCATTTACTAGTGCATCCAATTTGTTTTCGAATTTGTTTCATTTTTTATCATCCATTTTGTTGAAGTCAAAACTAAGTTTCGCTTTTATTTTTCTTTTGTTGAATTTGATATCTAAAAAGTTAACACACTTTGTTACGACTGGTAGATGATCAGATATATCAGTATCTATCGGTATGGTATAACAATCCAGTATATTGACCGAAAGTTCTGTTGATGTTCATATATAATCAATTCTCGAGGTACTTTGACTATTGGTATACGAAGGAAAGCGGATTCTTGCACAGTCATGTTTGAGGGTGAAGGCATTGAACATAGACATTCTAAGCAATGTGTCAAAGTATTTGAGTGTATTTGTCGGGTTATGTTGACGGTCCATGTCAGCATTGAAATCTCCTATTACGGCCACGTGATAATCTAGAGATAAAGCTTCTTTGATCCATTTTGTAAGTATTTGTTGGACTTCTTGTCTGGTTTTCAAGTCTGCGGGTGGTAGATAACAG